TTATAGCATATGATTTATTTTCAATATTTTCCATCATTTGTTTTGTGTGAAGCGATTGAATGCAATGAAGAGTTGATTGCAATTTATGTAATATCAATGATAAAGTGCTAAACAATTGTCATATCATCAATTATTTTGTGAAATAGTAGACAAAATTCAGTATACGTTTATTTTATAATATTCGTGCACTCAATCTATCAGCTATGATAATTAACAATGTTCATAAATCATAAATAATCATTAATCCTTGAATAATTTATATCTACCATTAAAAATACCATTAAAACTGACATTTGAATAAAGTTTTTATAGTTGTTTACAAAACAAATGATGGAAAATATTGAAAATAAATTATATGCTATAATAATATCAAAATAAAATTATTTGTGTTATAATTGAACTAAAAATTATAAAATATTATAGTTGGAGACAATTATACAACAGATTATTAAACTTTTTACATATCAAACAGTATTGTTTTGATTTTGATTGCATTATTGGGTGATATAATGGATGACTGGGAGCTAATGAGTCGATTTGAAATGTTTAGTATCAAGTATTTGGTGCATATGTCCACTTTTGGCGATTACGCTACCGGCTTAATTCCTATCAAACGGCAAATGCTTGTAATGATCGGTAGAGTTGTCCTAATAATAGTGGGCCTCCGGTTTTGCTTATCGGCTCTAATCAATACTCAGCGTATGAGAGGTATACTGAGTGACGGCACGTATATATTGGCCGATCCGGTGCTCACATCGTATATGTTAAGCGACTGTGCGTTAACGGTGGGCTTTGTGGGCCTCGCCATGAGTTATTTTGAGTTAAAAAGCAAATTATATTTCATGACTTTCTTTAATGATGTCAAACGACGACGACTTGTACTGCCGTTGAATGCCGTAAATCACAGCAAACTAATGGCAAAACCAATATTTCTGATGAAATATCTCTTGAAACCGATGTTTTGGCTAATGTTGGGCTCAACTCAAGCGCTGTTAACCGGCGCACAAATAATTGCTTATTTTCAGCCCAATTCTTATTTTACTATTTTTGGTATCATTTTCTGGTCTACTCTCGAAGTAATCTTTTTGGAACAAATTTTTGCAATTGTTTTACATGGTATGTTTCTATTATTAATGACCAACTTATATATTAAATATAAATACAATGAAATAAATGATGAGATTCATCGATGTGTTAAACGTGGTATGCATTCAACGTTTACGCACCGCTCACTTCTTATACGAGCCCTTTATAAACACAAATTCATAACCAAAATGATTGTTAATTTAAATATATATAACAAATTTGGTTTATTTGCTATTTATTACTTATCGACTCCAGGATTTGAATTATTATTATTCATTATATTTGCAAAACACACTCAATATATAACACGATTTATTCTTTGTTTTATATTTATTTCGATGTTTACTATGGTTTTCCAAATTGCATATGTGTGCACATGGGTTACCAAATCGGCCAACAATTCATTGCCTATAATGTACTCGGCTTTGAAACACAGGACTATACCAATTGCCCAGCGATTAAAAATGCATGCATTCATTGAGAGACTCTCTGCCCGTGACATCGGTTTCTATTGTTATGATATGTTTCTTATGAATAAATGGGAATTTAAGGAATATGTGTTCGGTTTTATGGCTACTCATCTCTTATTGCAATCTCTGGTAAATTATTAATATTTTTAAAATTAATTATATGTAAAAACATAATTAAACTGATTTTTTATTTTTAGCTCCAAGACTAATATCATACTAGCAACTAGTGTTGCCAGAAGCTCCCGGTTGCCCGGGAGTCTCCCGGAATGAGGGTACACCTCCCGGCTCCCGGTTGGGGTCTCACCTTGATATGGGGAGCTCCCGGAATTGCACAATGATGAATAAATTGATACAATTTACATTTTTTGCTTGGAAACCTGATAAAGAACTCACAATGATTGTTTTACTTAATTCATAATATTTGGTGAGTGAGTAGAGTAATTCAGAATACAGTGAGTATAGTAATTTTAAGTGAATAATGGCAAAAATCATGTAAATTAAAACGTTATTTAGAGTTTGGACTGATTAATCTGATAATTATTAGATTTTAATGACATTTTAGGACTATTTTGCCACCTCAAGGAAAGAATCAAGGAATTCTTTAAAAAATCTCAAGGAATCTCCCGGAAAATTTACTAAAAAATTGAATATATCAAGGAAATAGAGAAAATAACCTGGCAACACTACTAGCAACATTAAATGTTATAAGAGTAATGTTATTCTATTTACTGATAATTATATTTATTGATTATCAATTTTCATTAACGCCAGCAGTATTTACATTTACAGGCTGTACTTATTTGAAGTTAGTGGTATTTACTTACTTTGCATAGTTACCAAAAGCGCAACCTAAACCTTACTTACTACTTTACATATACAGTCAAACTTCTGTGCTGTCAACTTCTCTATGTTATCAACAAAATCCCAAAACCCAAATACACACCTCATAGAATAATCTTAAAATAATCTCTATACTGTCAACTTATATGTTGTCAACTAATCTATCATATCAACACATTTTGCCCAAATTTTGTAGCATTTCTGTGTATAACAACTTCTGTCCTGTCAACCCATACGCAAACTCATTAAGCATTAATCACAGATGTATTTTTCTCAATTAGATATGACGTGAAGAGTATTGCAAACATACAGTATGTTTGCAATGTCTTGTACGTAAAAATGTTCATCTAATCGACGAGTGAACCGAAAATCCTTGACTTTGATAATCAATTGATTTTATTGACTGATATAACAGTTGTATAAATAGAAATTACAACAAATAAGTGCTTTTAATAATTAATTAAACAATTATTGTATAAAAATTATATAATTTTGTTCAATAAATAAAACAATGGAAACAAAAACCGAGAAAAATTGTCCACAAAATGAAATGAAAACATTGAAAGACTTTAAATCAATGACTGATTTTAATGCCACGAATCAAACGGATCTCATTAGAGGTGAGACACCCGTCGATATCGTCGACACATGCCTTCAGTTATGCAAACAGTATTTGTCGGGCGTTTGGACGCAACAAACGGTGGACACCATTGAAGTGAAACGGATTACCGGAGGACTGACTAATCATATGTATTGCTGCCGTATTAAGAGTGGCGGCGAAGAGTCACCGCAAACAGCGGTTCCCCGAGAAGTGGCCATCAGATTGTATGGACGCAAAAATTTAATTACTGATGGTATAGACGGCGAAAGGCTGAGCGACATTATTATCGGATTAATGGTATCCCATAATGGATTGGGTCCCAGAGTGTACGGTATGTTCAATGGGGGACAGATTCTGGCCTATTACAAGGTAAATATAATTATTAATGTTGTAAATAAAACTCATACGCGAATGCAATTGTAAACTTACATTGTATGTAAAGCACCGGCACTTTGGACTCGCGGATCAAAATCGGCCACAACTGGTGCTACAAGTGTTTGAAGGGTTGGCCCGAATTCACGCCATGGATGTGCCCGTAAAGCGTGAGCACTGGTTCTTCACCACAGCCTACAACTGGTATAACATCATTGAAAACGACACCAAAACCCAAACACTGGTAAATGAACTCAATTTGAATGCATTGAAAACGCATTCACTGAAAGCGGAGTTGAATTTTGTCAAACAATTGGTCGATAAGTGCGACAGTCCTCTGGTTTTCTGTCACAACGACTTTCGCAGCGTTAATATTATGGTATTAGAGGACAGCGACTGTAGTGCTGATGACAATAGCGATGAAAGGGTATTGTTTTGCGATTACGAGAGCTCGTCGTACGGATACCGGGGCCACGACTTGGGCTACATTATCAACGAATGGGGCCGTTCTCTATGGGACGTACAGAAGCCCCATATATTTCCCTTGGACTCAACACTTATACCATTGATTGAGATCTATGTAAATGAGTGCCGACGAGTGTTAGGCAATAGATTTACCGAAAGTGAAATCAATTCGGTTCGACACATACTGATTGAGATGAAAATATTTAGTTTGGTTTGTATGATGTCCGGTGTATTGATTTTGCTTAAAAACGACCCTGATGCCGGTGACGCTCTTGACATGGACAAGAATTTGACCATGGTATGTTTTATACCATTATTATTTATTTTAATAATAATTATTATTATATAAAGCACATAAGTAATATGTTGTTTAATTTATTAACTAGCAATTCGCGGAAATGGTGTTCACAAACTATTTAAATGTTAAGAAACGCTTTACGAGTGAAAATATTTTTGATGATTTGTAAAATTATTATTGAAAATGACACGATTTACAAATTCAAAACATTAGACCAATGATTTTGTTTATGTGAGAGATCTGGACATCTAATCTATATTTCGTCTGTATTTTTTATTCATATTCATTTTATTGTATTTATACATGTTTAAATTTTTATCATTATATACATGTATATTATAATTACAATTTTTTATATTTTTCGTATATATTAATTAATGATAATTGTAACTGACAAATGATGAACCATAATGATGAATTCTATTATCTCCCGTTTATTGCATTTAAGTAGATATTAGCGTAATAATTAATGTACAATTAATGTATAATTATAATATAAAAATTGATTTTTGTAAACATAAAGTAAAAAACATGTAATGCACTAAACGTTATAACTTAATACAAAATAATGGTATTATTAATAGGCTTTAGAAACGATATCTTTTATAATTATAATTCACATTTATTTGTATTCAGTTTTGGAAAAGCAAATGCCATACAATACTTTAATTTAATATTATAATACAATATTATAGAAAAATATGTGTAATATAATCAAGTGTTTGGGTTTTGGGATTTTGTTGATAACATAGAGAAGTTGACAGCACAGAAGTTTGACTGTATATGTAAAGTAGTAAGTAAGGTTTAGGTTGCGCTTTTGGTAACTATGCAAAGTAAGTAAATACCACAAATGTGTTTATTAATAGTTAATTACGTGTAAAATAATGTCAAAATCGCTTTATTATCCCTTTTCACTGCTATTCATATTATTTGGTTTCACTTTGTTTTTTAAAAACACAAAATTAACCCTGCTACACAAAGCTATTATATATGCATTAAAACTAGTTGTTATAATAACTTTAATCTGGTCACTTTACTATACATGTATTAAAATTACCATAGATGAAATCCTTTGGCGAGTATCAGTAATTGTTAAAATATTCATTATTTTCATTGTATTTATACTTTTTGAGATAAAATCAATGGAAATCATGAAATTAATCGTTAATATCAGTAAACATCTCAATGAAGTTGATAAACGCCGTATAAAAAGATTATCACAATTAATGACATTATTATGGATTACACTAATTGTGATCCGTTTGATAGTATTTACCAGTTATTGGTTTATATATATGATTGATATAATATTATTACGGATTCTCTGGTCTATTAAAATATACGGCTTTATGGCAGCCATACCTCTATTGCTGATACAAATATGTTATTCAATATATTTATTGGAAAAGAAATTATTAATCAAAGAAAATAATGATACAAATTATGAAATACTTAATCAAAAACTATTAGACATTCAGATATTCAAAGAGAGGATAAATAAAGTTTTGGGGATATTTCAATTTCTATGGTTTTGTATGATATTCTCGTCAACGTGTCTACGATTAACGTATATAACAATAAATAAATCAAATGGTCACATATATTACCTTAAGGTAATGACCGGCTTATTTGAATACATAAGTATTTGTTTTATAAATGTCATGTATTTATTAGCAATTAATTACTTTCAAACCCATAGACCGACTGTTAATGAATTACTGTTATGTTATAATAAAAATAATTCATCAATGAATTCAATAGAGTTATTGTTTTGTGTTTTATTGAGAGATAACTTTGAAAGATATTCGCGAAGCAAAACACGGCTTTCAATGTGTTTACTATGGATTTAAAATTCCTATTTGTTTTCATAGGTTCTGTCATTACATTTACTGTTATGTTAATTCAATTATTATACAATTAATTTAATAAATAATAAATATTATTGAATTTCAACGATAACCATAAATAACAAAATGTTAATTAAATATCGCAAGTATAGAGCATAAACAAAAAGTAACATCATCATTTGTTGCCTGGATAGACAATTAATTATTGTTTAGCACAAAACACAAAACGTATGCTTTATTAGTATAAGTTTAATATAAGTAATACTATTATTAAAAATCAATTTTGATACATAAGATTTAATAATAAATTTGTTCTAGTTTTTGAACAGTACTTAAAAACATATGTAAATAACTTATGTAATTTAAAAAACAATATTCAAAAAACACAATTCAATAATGTCTGAAAATAATATAATTTATAAAAGTTTTAAACTCTTTTCCTCGTCATTCATATTTGTTTTGCAAGGAATTAATATTTCAGTTAATAATGAAATTAATATTATGTGTAAAATTTTATTCAAACTGCTATTTATTTCACCAATTATTTATTTTACTCGTTATTCAATCATACAATTAATATATCATAAAACACACGTTTTATGGGGAATATCCAGGATTTTTAAACTAACCGCTATTTTAATTGGTTTTACATATTTTCAGTTTAAATCAACAATTATTAAGACAACAATTATAACAATCATTAATAGTCTATCCGTTGAAGACATCCATCGGATGAAGAGATGCTCACAATTGATGACATTTTTGTGGTTTATATTTATATCAATACCTATCCTATCGATTGGTTTTTATCATATTTATTATAATTTCTTTGAATACACAATAATTGCTGATATCTTGTGGTCCATTGAATGCTATGGTTTAATAATCAGCACATATTTATTATTAGTATACATGTGTTATGCCGTATATCTTATGGAAAAGAGATTATTAATTGTGACTGATTTAGATTTTAATAATTTAAAACACAATTTATTAAACATTGAAAAATTTAAAGAGTCTATAAACAAAAATTTAGGTTTTTTGTCATTTCTATGGTTTTGTCAATTATTTTCCTCAACTTGTTTTCGATTAACTCATTTTAATCTTAATAAACAATTGGATCAAACATTTTTCGTATACATAGCGCACGGATTAACACAATATTCATGTATTTTTATTATAAATATTATGTATTTATTGGCAATTAATTACTTTCAAACCCATAGACCGACTGTTAATCAATTGATTTTATGTTATGACAAACCAAACCCTTCTTTGAGTTCAACTGATTTACTCTTAAGTTTGAATATAAAATCATGCCTTAAATCGTATTCACAAACAAAATACATGGCATTCAATGTCTTTACTATGGATTTGAAATTTTTGTTTGCATTCATTGCTTCTGTCATTACATTCACTGTTATGTTAATTCAGTTATTTAAATCCTAATCTAAATATCAATAATATTATGTAACTAGCACAAATGTATAAACTAAAATTAACATTCATCATTTGTTGCCACGGTACACAATTTATTACCATTCAAAAACAAAACACAAATATCAAATTAAATAACATTGTTTTATAAAAACTACAACAATCCAAACAATTAAGTCTTATACTTAAATGTCATAATAAATATAACTTAATAAGTGTTAACCATTATGAGTGAAATAGATATCAATTCATATTGTTCAAAAATATACATTTTATTTGGTTTTGATGCATTTTCTAGCATTAAAAACCATGTTAATTTAATTAAATATAGATCAATTAAATATATATTTAGATTATTATTTATTATAACATTTTTATTACACATCAGAAATTTAATATTTGCTTTTTTAGTTCCTGATACTTTAATTGATAATTTATTAAAAATATCTATATCAATAAAACCACTAATTATTGCAATTATGTACATTTACCTTAATATAAATTCAACTAAAATAAAATCAATTATTATTAATATACTTAAATATCTACCTGATAAAGAGAAGCACCTTGTTAGTTTATATTCACGTGTTGTTACAATTGTTTGGCTAATATTAATTATACTCAGAATGATCCTAATTGTTTCATTCTACATTTATGAACATGAAACATTATCCTATTATATATTTTTTGAGATTCTGTATACCATAGAAATGTATGGCATAATGATTGGCACAAATCTGCTATTAATACACACCTGTTATGCCGTATATCTTATGGATAAGCGATTAGTAACTGAAAATAATTCAAAATACGAGGATTTAAAGCAAAACGTGTTAAACATTATAGAAATGAAGGAAACAATTAATGAAACTCTCGGTGTTTTGCCATTTCTAAACTTTTGTGAACTATTTTCATCGTCATGTTTGCGGTTAACCCATATATCTATTGACAAACATTTTCAACAAATATTTTTCCTACACTTTTCGCACGGAATCATTGAGTATATTTGTATTTTTCTCGTAAATATCATGTATTTATTGGCAATCAATTACTTTCAAACCCATAGACCGACTGTTAATCAATTGTTTTTATATTATAATAAAAGCAATACTCCTTTGACTTCAAGAGATTTTGTTTTAAGCATTGATTTAAAATCTCACTTTAAATCCTATTATAAGACCAATTATTTGGCGTTTAATGTCTTTACTATGGATTTAAAATTTCTGTTTGCATTCATAGGTTCTGTCATTACATTCACTGTTATGTTAATTCAATTGTTAAACACATAAATAACATATTTACAAAATTATTTTCACCATAATCAATGAATGTCCTAGGAGTATTTTTACTATGTAAATTTGTAGTTTTCAAGTGCATTTTAACCATAATCTATAAAATCTAAATCTAATTTTAATATTTAAGTTATTTAAATATAAACATATTACAAACATTTATCTAAATTAATCTAGTTTCAAAGTTTTTACAACTATTTTAACTATTAATGAAGTATCGCTTATTATCTACACTCAGAGTATTATATCGCAATATAAAGCTAAAGGCAGGAGGATTAGTAGTGTTAATTATCACAGCATAGAGCAGTGCATTTCTTCGCACATTGATGGCAAATGCAACCCTTTTTGT